AAAAAAAAAAAAAAAAAAGATCTACAACAAAAATAGTGGCAGAAATTACCACTGAATTTTGGTTGACAATAATTTTAAGTAACACGTAATTATTTTATTTTCTTACAGCAGAGACATTCGTAACATAGATACCAATTGAAATTAAGAAACTTGACTCAGAAACACCACAACATAACATTTTTCAGTCACTGCCAGGAAAGAAAAATTGGAAAATGCATCCATCAACATATTTTTCCAATTACTAAATGAACAAAAAATCACATAAAGTAACAAAAAAATATATACAAGAAATTAAAAAACACAGATTACCTCAAAATTCGTCGAGAGGGAGAAGCTGGACGTTGACGGAGGTTCAGATGGCCACCGCTGCTCCTATTTGTCATCAGGTCCTTGCCCGCGTTATTATACGTATCAGATCTAACTGCTCGCCGGTCTACGCGAGCTGTCGCGCGCCGAACCGTTCTCGAACCGCACGGGTCGTTGCTGGTACTGTGGTCCTTACCGTGGACCTTCATGCAGCGCAACCCTTTCCGGCTACCCCACTGCAAATCGAACTGCGAAGGCGACGATGTCGTAGCGGCTGACCTGGATTCGGATCTCGACAGCAACCCGTTGTTATTTGTGGAGTTGGTATTCATCCTGTCCATCTCGCTTTTTGTGCACCTGTAGAAGACACCGTCATAAAACCAAACGATGGTTAAAACGGAGTTTTCATGTTTCTGTTATCTGGATTGTGATTGCATTTTTTGACGAATCACAATTACAGTGAAAAAGGAGATGGGAAAAACAGTTTTCAGATAATGGGCTATGTCAGGTGAAGATTGAAATCACAGGTGAAAAAAATGAAATTGAAAAATTTTAGCATCTCCAGAATTTGAAAGTGGACTGGCGTAAAGGCAATCACGCTTAATTCATCGCCATTGAAAATCTGGGTTTCCTATGAAATCGAGAGACGGATATGGAGAGAACTTTTAGTTCTTCAAAGCTGAATTTGAAGGTTTTTGTCAAACGAATTTGAATCTCGAAGATCGACGAACCCAATGCTAGCCAACACAGGTGCTTAATGAATTTCTTCAAAAAATTAAAATGAAGGAAAAAATGGAAGATGCAAGGAGCACCACGTAAAATTTGTGAGGATTCGCCCACAAAAAAATTGGGGGTCGAATTTTTTATGAGAAATTGAGCTGAAAATACACAGAACGCTTTAACCGTAAAAGGGGAAAATCAGTCTCCGATTACCGGCGAGCTTCTGTTGTCGTCACTTTGCTCTGTATTTTAGTTTCCAGAATCCGATGAGTACAAGAAAAAGGTACCTTCTGAATCTATAAATACAGAAATAAGAAATTTAATCAGTCACGAAGAGCATATGCATCAATCATCTCTAAGCTTCAAACACTTTTTTTTTCCCCTTTCATTTTGCTCAGATGATGAATCAAGTTACCTTAAAACATCTGTAGAATCATAAAATCGCAGATATGCAGAAGTTTCCAGACGCTAGCATAAAGAAATTCACGGCGAAAATTTGTTTCTGAAAATCCTCTTTCGATCTTCTTAACCAGGTAGCTGATCTAAAACTCTCCCATGAACAGACACCTGCAAATCGAAAGAGATTTTTACATTAATCTTGAAAACATTTGGCTCACCAAATCAAGATGAGCATACACACACACACACAGATAAAGATACAGATACGAACCTTTTAGATTTCCCAAAAACCTCTAACCAAGCTTGAATAGTTGAATATCTCCTGCACAAATGCGACCTGCAATTCAGTTTAAAAAAAAAAAAATACCAAAAATTGTTAATCTGATGATTAATTCTAATCCTGCAGATAAATCAGTTTGATATTGATTCATAATTTGATTTATCTATTTTCAGCTCACCACAATGAGAGAGAGAGAAGATATGAGAGAAGATGATGCAGAGCTCTTCTTCCTTCTTCTTCTTCTTCGGCTTGTGAAATGATGGATGAGAGGAAAATGCAGAAAAACTTCCTTGTGTTCTTCAAACCTCACTTTTACACAACTATATACCCCTCCATTTTTCATTTTCCAATCTGCAGCCGTTCAAAAACGATGGACGGTGCAGATGCTCTTGTTTTTTTTTTTTTTTTGGTACAGGGACTTTCCGGTTTCCGGATCCACAGGAAAACCGACTAATCCGGAATCGAGCCGAGTAGGACCACAAGGGCGGCAAAGCTCTCCCTCAAAAGTTTTAACACTACTGCATTTACAAGGCTCGAACACGAGACCACTAGTTAAGCTGTAAGAGACCCAAATGCTCTTGCTTTGATTGTGTGAGATTGGCGTTTCGGTCGTCCCCATCAAAAAGGACGAGTTTATATTGACGGCGTCGGGTGCGATGACGGAATCTTTTTGTTGTTAGTTCCGCCGTTTGTTATAATTTTCTGTTTACGTTGTTTTCTTTTGTGATTAACCTAACATTGTTTAGTTTAATTTAGTCTTCACTGTTCAGTGGCTCGATTAAGTTACAAATTCTCAAGCGGCCTAACTATTGGATGATCGACCCCTTTTGTATTTTTTTAACGAAAATAAATACTTATGTCATTAATTATCATTAATAAAAATAATTCTTTATGTTATGAATTATTAGTTATGTTTATGTTGTTTTTTACATTATGTTGTTTCAATTTAAAATTATACAAATATGTTTAAAGAGTATGGCAGACCGGCCTTAAAGTTCGACTTGATTTTCAATTTTTTTGTCTCGTCTAGGGCTGCAAAGTCCAGCATGGACCTTGTCGACGTAAATTAAATTTTTTTCTTCAATGTTCGAGCTCGACGAGCCATGTAAAATGCTTCTCGACTCGACTGGTGAAAAAAAAAAAATAAGAATGTTCGACCTCGACTCGATGTTCGACATGGCAAGAGATCGACTTGATGCTCTAACAATAAAATTTTAAATATGCAATAGATTGTTTTTAATCTAAGTAGACAATTTTGGTCTTGGTATTCTTATATTGATAATTAAACTATATGAGGTATTTATGTAAATAAAAAGTCGTGCGGCTTGTCGAGCTTACAAGTCTATTGAAATGTTGCTCGAGGCTCGACTCGTTTGCTCGATTGAACTGCAGTTAAGCTCGAGTTTGACCGAGCTCGAGTCAGGCATTAACTTGAGCAGTCACGAGCGGCTCACGACTCGTTTGCATCCCTAATCTGATCACATTTTTTAAGTAAGACAGATTTTAGGTAGACTAAACGACTAAAGGGGTGATTATTTATCAATTAACTAAAAAACCAATCAAAACTCAAATTTAACTAACTTTAACTCAACCCTACTATCCTCAATAGTATCAATATAATTAAATAATATTAATTAATCATTCTTACAGATCACATCAAATTTAATTCACTATTCATCCACTCACATAATTTTAATTAACCATCACATCCAATCACTTTTCTCCTATTTCACATCAAATTAACTTTAATGATTTTATCTAAATATTATTTTAATATATATATA